CAAAGGGACCAATAGGTATTCAAGTCAGGGGGAAAATAGAAAGGCTCGCTATGTGCATGAGGACCAACTGATATCATTACCAATGGAAGATTGAGCTAAACCCATTGAACTAGAAGAAGTAAATTTCTACATCCCTAACATTCCAATTCCAAATCCGCACTGTACGTTGCTCTCTCCGCCAGAAACTCAAAAACAAGAAAGGATAAAGTAAAACTGACCTTTGGTGTCTCTCAATAAATAGTAATAAGCTGAGACGGTAGCGACAAGAACAAGAGAGAGCACAAAGATAATCGCCCCAATTGAGATCCCTCTGCCTTTATCGGAGCGAGCTGACCTACGAGCCCTAGCCTGTTTATACGGCGCAGAACGAATTCCCACCGCGACGTGATCGGCAACGCCATTGTTGGCGGAGTGGAACGCATCATGTGACCGTGGTCCATTTCTGTCCGTCCCCGACTGCCTGTACTGAGCCATTTGCAGATTCAATCATCCAACCCCAGCAAGCAAACGCTCCTCTTACTCGAAAAAGAAAGAGTGGAAGTTCATTCGATTCTGCCCAAATCGGTCTGACAAAGGAGATCACAAGAAACAGGAGAAATGGAGTATCACAGTAACTCGACAGATCTGAGATTTGAGAGTGTGAATAAAGAATGGGATTTTCAGATTGAAGAATTAATAAGAATTAAGAATTTCCGGTGTTTATCCACGGCGGAAGATAGAGAGAGAGAGACAATGAGGTAGATAACCGAACTCTGCAATCGTCCATCCTCGAGGGACTCGTCCAGCATTGAATCAAAACTCAAAATCATCCAAATCTGCGCACGAAATTTTCAAAAACATTACGCTAAATAACCACAATAAAATATTAGGTAGATTCTTTGTAATGCATGATTTCCAATTAGATTACAAATTCATGGTTGTTGAACGCTATAAATTTTCTCCTTCAACTTCCTATCTTAAATCTTAAAAAGGTTTATTAAATATAAAATTAGAAGATTATTCATTTATTACACAACTCTAAAATCAATACAATTTTCTAAATTTACATCTTTCATAATCACTTTAATTTCAATTTTCTTTTTACATTAATACATTTTTTAATAAAATATTTTTAATATCTAAACCAAAATTAAAAATTTTATTTATTTTTTAAAACGTCGCTTAAAATAAAATGTTAATTGTTTTATTTAAAACAAATGATAAGATTATTTATTTATTTATTTATGTATTTATTAAAGATTCAACAAAGTTGAGATTTTTTTAATAAGTAATTTAGCTCCAAAAAAAATTTTGAAAAGAAAACGAAAAGAAAGGAGCGGCGGAGGCAAACACGGCTATAGGCTGCAAGCAAAGGACAAGAAGTTTGCTCTCTCAGTCTCGGCCAATCTGTGGCTCGCATCGTCCTAATTCTCGCGGTGGGTGACGTTTCTTCTTCAACCACCGCTGCACAACCACAACTCTATACGCTTGACTTTGATTCCCTCTGCGAGCAATTCGCCACCAAGCTCCCTCATATTTCAGGTTCTTCCTCTAATTTCATCTCTATACTCCGTCTGCAGCTCTTCTAAGAAATTTGAATCCTTGTTTCGTTCATATAACGAAGTAGGTACCTTAATTGGATATTTAACTGCTCCTTTTTCGCATTCAGTTTTGATCGAAATTCCAATCTCGAAGGAACCTCTTTGCTCGTGTCACACACACACAATTCAATTCAATTCAATTCAATTAAGAGAATATTCAGATATAAGCGCTCGAGCTCCTCCTGTTATGAACTGCAAGTTTATCTTTGCATACAATGGCGATACTGCCTTATTGCGGATGATATGATCCATTTCTCTTGGAGAAGAAAGACATTGGTTGAAAATTTTGCTGCATGATATAGTCATAAAACATAGTGTTCACATTGCATATTTGCATAATTCTAGTGCACTGTTTGGAAGATCACACCATGTCGTACAGCAACATCTTTCTGCTTATGCTGGAGTATTCGCTAGGAGTTGTTGCCTCTACTCTGCCAACTCCACGAACAAAATTTTGATCATGGCTACCTTTTGACGACTGGCAGTCAAAAAGAAGTAATTATAGTTTATTTTCTACTTCATTATGTGGGGTAGTATTGAAGTTTCTGCCCTTAAGAATTGCTTAACGTTTATTTGAAATTGGTCAACATCATGGATCATTTGAGATTCCTTAACTTTTGCATGTTCATGAAATTCCATAACTGACGGAAATGGGATGTAGAGCATGGTCTAATTACTGACTTGAGTGGTTGTTTGTTTTTTCGATTTGTGTAATTGTATGTGTATTCTATGGAATGAGGCACTAACCACTTTGTCCGTACTGGTGGAAAACCCTCGATGATCAATTCAGCAGTTTTCTTATCTTTTTCAATGAAATATGTAGTTCACCACGTACAAATTTGTCTTGATAGATTATTTTATCTATTATTGTGGATTCAATGTGTAGGAACGTTTCTATTTATCTCCCATCTTGATGGTGCATTTTTTCTCGAGGGGATGTTGATATGCCAACATCAGAATGGGAAGCCTAGAAATATAAAGCATGGGGATAAGATTGCAAGGACTGAGATGTGTGTGGTTGAAGTAACCATGAATGAGTATTAGATGTCCAGAAATAAAGGATATAGTGTCTGATAGGTTAGAACTGGAGAGATATTAGTATAATTTGTATCAGAATGGAAAACACAGGAATCAGAAGCTCGTAAGATTGAATTCTTGTTTGAATGACACATGAATGTAATTGCACTTGGTCCCAAGAATCAAGGACTTCATATCAAACGCCTTCTAAGAGGCTTCCGAGGATCTCAACCATCTTTTGCTTCACTTTCCACGTACTAATGTTCTCTTCCATGAATTCTTTTCAAAGCTCTATCGTGAGCATGTCACCAATTTTACATGTGGAGTTGACTTTTAAAGAGATCCTAGTTAGTCACCTGTCTAAATAGAGCCGCCTATTAATGTTTGATACCATTGTTCTTTCGGAAGTTGGAACTTTTGCACTCTTGAATGATTTCACTATATCCTTTAGTTAACATATTTTTGTGAGGGCTTCTATTGTTATATCTATCAGGCATACTTGTAAAGCTTTAAATTTTGGTGAGGTCCTTTTTATATACTCAGTACTTGTCGGATTTTCTTTTGTTCCAATTTCCCATGACTCTCTTGAACTCAGAACTTGGATAAAGTTGACAATCCTAATAGACTGAGACATGATTTTGCATGGAAATTCATCTACTAGCTCGTTGATAAATTTTTTATTGGTAGTACGGTTATTTCAAAATACTAATGTTGGAAGGTAACTGTAACTTGGAAACTCTGCCTTTGATAGAACAATTCTCTTTGTTGCATTTACTCGCTTGGATCTTCTCCATGCGTGAATGGAACTCATTGTTGATTCAAAGAAAATGTTTAATCAAAATTTAGGAATGGGAGGGACTTTCTGTGTGAGATGAGTCATATGTTATGAATGGTACGTGTATTACTAAACTTGTTAATATGGTACAGGGATGCTAGGAAAATCATTGGTATCTCCCATATCAACAGTTGATTCTGTAACTCGTCTCTGCTTTTCTACTGTGAGTAGCAGCTTTTGTCTCGTACCATGGAATACTATTGACTTCATAATCTTATTGCTCAATCAATACTTTTATACAATATCTTATAGGGTTTTAAATTTATTCTTAAAATCTCATTGCAGCCCTGCATTGGCACCGCCAAATCAGGAGCTGTATGTTCAAATGTGAGTTTCTCCTATCAGCCTGCTAAGTATATGATAATGGATGTGAGGAGACAAAGTCCCTATCCGAGGAAGTGGGAAATCCATTCAACTTCTCAAGTTGAAAGCTTGGTATTAAGTGATGATGATAAGAAGACATGGGAAGCTTGTCGGCAAGCTCTGTCCATGTTCAGCTTTAGTGATGAGGAGCAAGATAAGATGCTCGGAAAGGCGTTTGGCCACATTCATTCACCCTACTGGGGCGAAGACAGAAAGAAGGAAGTTCCTAATATTGATACCGTAAATGAGATACTGGAATATCTGAGGACACTTGGGCTCTCTAATGACGATCTCTCTAAGCTGCTCAAAAAATTCCCTGAAGTTCTTGGCTGCAATCTTGAGCAGGAGCTGAAAACCAACGTACAATTGTTGGAGAAGGAGTGGGGAATTCAAGGCAAATCACTAAGGAATCTTCTTCTGCGTAATCCCAAGGTATTGGGTTACAATGTTGATTGTAAAGGAGACTGCATTGCAAAATGCACCAGATGCTGGGTTCGATTCTAATCACACTTTCTTTTACACAATTTCTTATACCAATAATAACTTATGCACATGAATCATGTCTGAATTACCAGTTCTCGCTTATTTGGATCATTGTTTTCATGTTCATAAATGCATAAACTGTTCCCTCTCTCTCTCTTGAACTTTTTAAAGAGCATATTTGGAAATTGAAAGCTTCCATACTTGTTCAATTTACGTTTGTTTTCTTTCTTTTATGAAGAAGAAATTGTTTCCATAACTTCTCAATTCCACGTATATGCTCTAAAAAATGATATCAATCCTCCTAAATTTTGTGCAAAACCATTATCTTCATGGCTTTAGGAAGCAGCATCTCGAACTTCTTTTCTCCCCGTCTCTAAATCGGTTCCCTCAATGTTGCAATTTTTTTGGCCATCTTTTTGCTTGTACTCATGCGCAATAAAAATAATATTCTAAATCAAAATTCTTTACTTTTTAGCCATTCTTTGTAATATTATTCTCTTTTGCTTCATCTTCATCTTCTTCTTTTCTTTCTTTTCTTTTTTTTATTTCTTTCTTTTACAATGGTGGGTTGGAATCTGTTGAATATTTTCAAAAGATTAATTAACAAGTTTCGTCTTTATCTTTATAAACACGTTAGACTTTTTTTTATTAAATGCAATACATTGTAAATTTAGGAACATAATAACACATTCTTAAAATTCAAGACTAATGCACAAAATAAATAAGAAAATAACTTCATATATTATCAATCACAAAACACATTACATCATCAAAGGAACACAACAAAAGACATAATTCACTGACACAACAAAAGGCAAAGGCACCAGTGGTATATGTATATTTCTGTTGTCCGAATATCAACGGAAAATAGCATAAAATAGAACCAGCTCCAAACATACATGAAAATATGGTAGAAGAAGAGAACAACGGGAATTTAGGGGCACTTGAGTTTATTGCCGTGGGTCCTGAGGCGAGCATAGCAAGGGCAAGCTTGGTGGTTGCCGTAAGTGCCGGGCGGGACGCAGTGGCATCGACTGCAGCAACTTCCGCAAGCCCGCATACATATCTTCTTTCTCCTCACTTTCATGCATCGTCTTGAGCATGCATATTTGCAATCTAATCCAATCCCACCACAGTATAAGTTTCAAATTTTGTATTTTATTTTTTATAATCTCTAATAAATTCTTGACCATTTTTATTTTATATTTAACAAGTAATTGAACTTGTAAAATTCTAATTTTGTTTTTTTTTTTAAATATTGTTGGATTACTTACTGATTTTTGGAGAATAGATATGTTTTTTGTCGAGAGCTGCCGTGTTGGTCCCTTCATTCACCTAAACTCAACGCCAATATTTGATTATGAACACGAATAAACCCGATATTATTAATAAACAATAAAGAATACACAAACTCAAACTTCTATAAATTCATCAACATTTTTCTATCTATGTACTCAAAACAGTGTCTCGTTTCGTACAATGTTAAATTACTACTACGTGATCAAAATAATTTCAACAAGAATATTATCTCAAAATTTTGATCCAATTAATTCAAAAGTTTTTCAAAGGTGATGGAAGGGGCAAATGAGAGATGGAGGATACTCACATTAGTGGAAGCCTCTGAAAGACCCTTCAACATAATATAGAAAGAAAATGAAGTTTATTAATTGGTTACCGGAAAATAAAATATAAAATATAAAATACAAAATATATTATGTATATATATATATATATATATCTAATACCTGCAAGAAAAGGAGAAGGAGAACGAAAGTGCAAAGAACACTGAGTGGCTTCATTTCTAAAGAAGATATCCCCAAATTTTGATGGAGTGGTAAACTGCAATGGCTTGCCTTCATGTGTGTGTATATATAGACATAAAATGAGTAAATTACATTTTTGTCCTCGATTTTCATACTCACCATCTTCTTTTTTGGTTTGTGTTACTTTTAGGAAGGTAATTTCATCTATTTTTCGTTTTCCGCCTATTGTCTTCTTTCATCTTCATATCACTTTTTTGAACGAGAACTTGTTCGTTCGTATATGTTAGGAGCCCATTAATGAGAAGGGACACTAAAAGACGTACCTAACTCTCTCAAAAATATTTCAAAAATACCCTTAAACTTTCAATAATATTTCAAAAATACCCTTTTAACTTTATAATATATATATACATATTTTATTTTATAACTCTTCAATTTAAAAAAAATTAAAAAACACCCGTTATAATACCCCAAAAAACTTTAAAGGCTAATTAACACCTTGTAAAGGTATTTTTAATTTTTTTAAAAAAATTAAATATTTTGGATTTTTTTAAATATTAATGAAAATTCAAACGAAAAAGAAAGATAAAATATAAAATTTTAAAATATTTTTATTAATTTATCCTCTAGAAACCACTAGAAATATTAATTTAATGGGAGGGATAGATGCTACACACATTAGGAAAAAAGGGAAAATATAAAGAAAAAAGGTTTTCCACGTGGAAAATTATGATTGAATTTCAAAAAAAAAAAAAAAAAGAATGGGTGTAGCAATAAAATATTTGTATATTTGAAAATGCAATAATGAAGGTGTTGGATAATAAAGCCATTGATGTCAATATCTTTATGAATTTGTGGTGGCAACGTTCACACAAAGTGAGAATAACTTAACAGCTGTGTGTTTGCTCATTCTTTACATCCATCCAAAACCCCAACATACATAAACCAACGCCCCAATTACAAGAACCTTCTACTTTTTTTTTTTTTTTTATCATTTTATATATATAATTTCAATTAGACTCTAAAAAACTTAATTCAATTTCCTTTGGTAAATTTTTTTAATCTAAAATACAAAACCATTTATTTACATTGGGAGTACAGATAATGTAGTTGAATTGTTTCAATTAGATTTGAGTAGAGAATTTGGGGGAAATGTATCTTTCAAAGAGGTGGTAGGGTTGCAGGAATTGGCATGCAAACCAAATTGCTAGCTGTGACGGTGTTGACACTTCTTCACTTATTCAAATTTGGTTCTATCCTTCTGGATGCCTTTTGCCTCCTTTTAAATATAAATTTTAAAATGTATTATATATGTATGCATATATATACATGTACACATATGTATGCTGTCCACCATTGGCATATATTATTGCACTACTACATATCCATTATACTTCTATATATATTTCATTTTAAATTTGGAAATAACTCTATTTTTTCTTATTTTTTAAAAATAAAAATAAAAATAAAAATAAATAAATTTATTTATTGGGCTTCTCGAAGCTTCCCACGGGCTCTATGTGTGCTTGAATTTGATTACTTGGGAGCCCATCCCTTGAACCTAGGCCTCAGGCCCAATTTTCTAACTTGGTTTAAGGATATTAACAAAATTTATAATTTTTATAATTTATTATTTAAAAATCATCTCTAAATTTGCAATTATATTTTTAACCGACTTAATTACTGAAATTTGCTCGGAAAGTAAAACATTGTTCATATTTAGAAAAGAAATAAAAAAAAAAACTAAGCAAAATGATTTTGCACTTACGGTGCCCAACGACAATCGGCTTCGAATCCCACCAATTGACGGACGGACGGACGCCGGGATCCTGGAACCGCCATTTCTGTAAACTCAGAGACTCTTCTGACCTTCCGCGAAGAAAAACCCTAAACTCATCGGAGTTGAAGTTAAATCAATGGAGGCGTCGCCGGCGTCTTCCGAGGGTTCCTCGCGAGAGGTTCAATGCATCGGAAAACTGGAAATAGTGAGGCCAAAACCTGCCAGTGGGTTCCTCTGCGGCTCTATCCCCGTTCCCACTGATAAGGAATTCCACGCCTTCTACTCTGCTCTAGTTCCTTCGCGCCAAACGTATTAACCTTCTTTTTCCCTCGTTATCTGTTCATTTCTATTCCTAATCACAATCATGCGAGCTTCTTTCTTATTGCTTAATTTTTTTGAGTGAATTTATCTTAATTTGGGTTTATGGTCGGTTTTGTTTGTGAAAGCGTGACAGCTCCGAGGTATCGAGTGCTTCCGACCGAGACAGATCTCAATTTACCTCCACTTCCTTCAAACTCCCATGAGAAGATTCTCCCGATTGGGGCACTCCAGTCGAAGGACGCCGGAGGTTTGTTTCTGCCGTTTATGAGTTGTGCTAATATTTTTGCTGATACAGCGCATTGCTGGAGCATAGCTAAAACTTCAATGGTTTAACGATCTGGCCTGTGGCAAATATAAATGAACTTTTTGTGCTGGCGCTAGACATCTGTTTAGTTTGAAATAGTCGCCCTGCACCATTCTAAATGGAAGCAGATAAGTGCAACTTAACTAGCAACGTGGTTGCAATTCGTATTCTTCCGTTCTCGTTTTGTTTAGAATAGTTATGCCTTTTTCATGTTAAAACTTGTTACGTCTGCAGACTTTTGTTTTGTTGGAGTTTCTGTTCCATTCAATCGGCTACTGTACTTGATAGTTTTTAAGAACTCGCTTGAAGTAGCTATGCCTTTGCAACATTCTAATTTTACTTTCTTAAAAGTTTTGCTATCACTTGGATGATACTAGCATTCACATATTTTAGATTTACCTTGGGACGGGGGTGCTGTTGCTTCAAATCTTACCAGAAAATGTGAAGCTCTTGCTGTGTCTGGTTTGGTTGAATATGGCGATGAGATAGATGTGATAGCTCCAGCTGACATTCTTAAGCAGATCTTTAAAATGCCTTATTCAAAGGCCCGGTTATCCATTGTTGTTTATCGCATTGGACAAGCGCTTGTTCTGAGTACAGGGTATGTACTTAGTAGTCTTTCTTTGCTGTTAAAATTTCAGTCCTACTGTTTATCACTGGCATTTTTATCGTTGTTCTTTGTGATTTTTTTTGTTCTTAGATGTCACAGAAAATGTAATTGTGATAGCTAATTTTCATTGATTTTCTTGGTGGAAGTGTAGGCCTGATGTTGAAGAGGGAGAAAAGCTGGTTAGGAGGCATAAAAATCAATCGAAGTGTGCAGAACAATCTTTACTTTTGAATTTTGCTATGCATTCAGTTAGAATGGAGGCTTGTGATTGTCCTCCAACTTATCATGCTACAACAGAGAAGCAATCTAAGTCATCTGTTCTTCCTGGAGGAAGTACATCTCAGGTGCTGGAGCAGACTGACGGTGTTTCACCAAAGGATTTGAATTCCTGTGCCCAATATAAGGAAGTTAAACAAGATGCCTTCTTTTGGGGAAGTAAGAAGGGTAAAAGAAGTAAGAAGCATGATCCCGTCAAAAAGGTTTCAGAAGTTGGTGGAAAGCCTAGGTGCTCAAATCAAGAGTCTGAAAAGCATAGAAGTGTTGGTGATGATGAATTTCTAAGGGTTCTGTTTTGGCAATTTTATAATTTCCGTATGCTTATTGGTAGTGACCTGCTTCTGTTCAGTAATGAAAAGTATGTTGCTGTGAGTTTGCATTTATGGGATATTACCCGACAGGTGGGGCATTGTATTGTTGACTAACCTGAGTTTAATGATTATTATTATGTTAACACTTCTTTTTTCAGGTCACTCCACTTACTTGGCTTGAAGCTTGGCTCGACAATGTCATGGCAAGTGTTCCTGAATTAGCCATTTGTTATCATGAAAATGGCGTTGTTCAGGGATACGAGCTTCTGAAGACGGATGATATATTCCTATTAAAAGGGGTCTCTGATGACGGTACTCCTGCTTTTCATCCTTATGTGGTACAACAAAATGGCCTTTCTGTCTTGAGATTTCTCCAAGAAAACTGCAAACAAGATCCTGGGGCTTATTGGGTAATACTACAATTTTCATTCTGCATCTCTCATATAAATCATAAGTTAATTCTAGGTGGAGTGTCAACCCCATTCATATACTTAACATCAAATGTTTTCAGCTTTATAAAGGTGCAGGTGAAGATGGGATTCAACTTTTTGATCTTTCTCTAATTCCCAAGAACCATTCCTCCAGTGATTTTGATGATAGCTCAAATTCCTTACCCTCGATGCTATATAGAGGGAGATGTGACTCCTTATTTTCATTAGGAACACTTCTCTACCGTATAGCTCACCGTCTCTCACTTTCTATGGTGAGGAAGATTTGTACTTCTATTTTCTGTTTTTGCATCTTGGAAATGGTTGGTTGCTGCAATTATAATTGTCACTTTTGCAGAATCCAACTAACAAGGCCAAATGTGCGAGGTTTTTTAAGAAGTGTTTGGATTTTCTTGATGAGCCTGATCATTTGGTAATGATATTGTTTCCACTAGTACCTTATGATTGCATCTGTTTGTGTTTTGTGGTCAAGTTTTTACTTGAATGTCTAGATAACTGACAATCAAGGCCATGGTAAGCAGGTGGTTCGTGCATTTGCTCATGAACAGTTTGCAAGGCTCATTTTAAACTATGACGAAGATTTAGATTTAACATTAGATTCTCCTCCACTGGGATGTGAAGTTGAAGTTGTGGACGCTGAAGAAGAAGAGTCGTTGAACTTTTTAAGCAGTACATCTGAAACGGGTAAGTATGAAGGTTCCTCCTCCCTTGTAGAAGAAGACAAACTTGGGGAAGGTGATTCACATCATCAAAATTTGTTGTCAGAAGTTTCTTCATCAATAACATCAGAAGCCTATGTATCTTCTCCAAGAATGATATCGTTGAGAGATCAACAAGGGATAGAACCACCGGTGGCAGCAGAAAATTCCCAAGATGAGGAAAGCTTTGCTGTCTGTAAAGTTTCTCCAACTGCCTCACATGTAGTTCAGACTGTTGCTGATCCAATATCTTCAAAGTTAGCTGCAATACATCATATTTCTCAGGCTATCAAGTCTCTTAGATGGATGCGCCAGCTACAAAGCTCAGAACCAAAGATGGACCATATTGGTGCAGTGCACGATAGTCTACCTTCTTCTGTTAATATCTCTGTCTGTGCATGTGGTGATGTTGACTGTATTGAAGTCTGTGACCTTCGTGAATGGCTTCCAAAATCAAAATTGGACCATAGATTATGGAAATTGGTTCTTTTGCTTGGAGAGTCTTATTTAGCTCTTGGCCAAGCATATAAGGAGGACGGCCAGCTGCATCAGTCCTTAAAAGTTGTAGAATTGGCATGTCTTGTTTATGGATCTATGCCCCAGGAACTTGAAGAGACTAGATTCATTTCCTCAATGGTTGGCACCCCACTTTTGCAGAATAAATTGAATGATAAAGATGTAAAGTTGAGATCATTTAATCAAGATCTGAAAGAAGTTGATTTGCAATGTGATGACTTATCATTGGATCATTATTCTTCCACTTATCTGTTTTGGGCCAAGACATGGACATTAGTTGGAGATGTATATGTGGAGTTCCATTCTATATACGGTAGAGAAACCTCTGAAAAAGCAGAAAAGAACTTTTCCACAAGAGAATTGAAGATCTCATCTGAAGTTGTGAAAGAAGTTAATAGGCTCAAGAAGAAGCTTGGGCAATTTAAAAACTGCAGTGCTTGCTCCTTGGTAAATTGCAGCTGCCAGAGTGATAGGGCAAACAGTGGAAGCAGTGCTAGCAGTAGTAGGGGGGAATCAATTGTCTACAGCAGAAAACACAATAAAAAGACTCATTTTAAGACTTCGACTGCCCACTCAGTCTCAGGAGACCGTGAACATGATTATAATTGTACAAAGATTGATGATGGAATGGGCTCTAACCGTCGACATATAGAGCCAAAAAGGAATGCTCGAATCCCAGTAGGAACTTGCAATATGGTTGATTCTGGGACAAAACTCTCGGTGGGTAATTCTGAGGTGGAGGATAATGTGGAGACTGGCGGTCATGTTCATAGTTCGACCTCTCAATCTCATGTGAATTCTAAGGAATCTCAGAAAGTTAAAACTGGTGGAATATTCAAGTATCTTGGGGGTCCTGTTTTTAGAGGATCAGAATGCAATTTGACTGCAGCCCTCAGTTGCTATGAAGAAGCTAGAAAGGCGTTAGGGCAACTCCCAGCTGGATCCGTTGAACTGCAATCAGTTATGAGAAAAAAGGGTTGGGTTTGCAATGAATTAGGTCGATGGAGACTTGAAAGAAAGGAGCTGAAGAAAGCTGAAATGGCATTTATAGGTGCTATTGATGCATTTAGAGCTGTTTCTGATCATACGAACATCATACTAATTAACTGCAATTTGGGTCATGGGAGGCGAGCGTTAGCTGAGGAGATAGTATCCAAAATTGAAGATCTAAAAGTACATGGAATTGTACAGAATGCATATTGTCAAGCATTGGAGACTGCCGAACTTGAATATACTGAATCGCTAAGATATTACGGGTCAGCAAAAAATGAACTGAGTGGCGTTGCTGAAGATTCTATTGATGTGCCCAGCAACCTGAGGACTGAGGTTCACACACAGCTTGCTCACACGTATCTGAGGCTTGGTATGCTTTTGGCAAGGCTAGATATAAACGAGGTACATGATATTGAAACATTGGAAGATGTTGGGTCATTTCACACAAATTCTAACAATAGAGGAGCTAAGAAAGGATTGAAGAAAAAGCATAAGATTTCAGCAAATGATGCCATTAGGGAGGCACTATCAGTATATGAATCTCTTGGTGACATACGTAAACAGGAAGCTGCATATGCTTATTTCCAACTAGCTTGTTATCAAAAGAATTGTTCTTTGAAGTATTTGGAGTCGGATAGCTGGAAAAAGAGCTTGTCTAAAGATGATAACGCCATTCTCCAACGGGTAAAGCAGTATGCTTCCTTGGCTGAGAGGAACTGGCAGAGAGCCTTGGAGTTTTATGGCCCTAAAACACATCCCACGATGTATCTGACCATTTTGGTTGAACGATCAGCTCTTTCATTAAGCCTGTCTAGCTCGTTACACTCGAATGCGGTAAGACTCTTTCCCTCTCTAATATTTCCTGTCATAACCTTAAGCACTTTACCATGTAACTCTTGGAGTTTCGATATACACACCATTTGTTTGGTTTGCTGGGCCATTCGTTGGCTTTTCTTGGACACAATCAGCCATGCCATAGACCATTCTCGAAAATAGTTTCATCGTCTGTTGTTTTCCACGTAGTAATTTTTTTGTTTTCCTCTACAGATGCTAGAATTGGCATTTTCTCGCATGCTTGAAGGACGACACGTTTCTGATACCGATGCAGATTCTCTGAAAATGAAGTACTCCGAGATACATTCGAAATTTTGGAATCATTTACAAATTCTATTGAAGAAAATGGTGGGAATGACACTTCCAACGAGTTCAGGAAAATCTTCTGCATCTCAACCTCATATGACACCCAGCAGATCTGGTGAAGCTTCAAGGCTGAGGGAGCTTTACAAAATGTCTTTGAAGTCCAATGACCTCCGAGAGCTGCAAAAGATGCATACCATGTGGACTTCAAAACTGGAATGTTGACCGAATAGTCGTGTGCATATGTTCATAATGAAGAAAGAAGAGAATATTGACTTTTGTCGAACTTTTCGTGTACCGTTTTTCTCTGATGAATTGCTTTTGAATTTTTCTTTTTCTGGCAGCAAACTGATACCAAAACGTTGAGTAACACAAACATGGAAATGACATTTGGCATCATTGGGAAGGATCGATCCCATCCAGTTTATGTCGGTGAGGCTTTTTACTTCAAATTCATGATTAATATTAACTTTTGAAATAATATATATATATATATATATATATCTATCTATCTATTAAACATAGGACATTAGTTGTTTTAGTCAAAGGATTGTTGTGTTTAATTCGAAAACTTTGAAATTTGTCTGTTTAGATTCTGATCTTTTTAAAACTATAAGTTTAATCTAATGACAGAATTAATAAATATAAAATTAAAAGTTCAAAATTTTGTGTGTTATTAGACAGTAAAGGCTTCCAATAATTTAATTTTAAAAAACCATAAATTTGGCGTCAAATTCGTTTCAATAATCCATAAAGTGGGACCTATTGTGAAGTGTATCTTGCCTGTGAGTACTGTTTGAACCGAGAGGATCGTATTAAGCAAGAATGATGGACGCCTGGCGGAATAAGTTACCAGCGGCAAGGGCCTTATTGTTTCTCTTCGTGTCTTTCTTTACCATTTCCATATCCTCCGCCATGGCTGAGACCGATGAAACTTCTTCAACCGTTTCCATCGCTTCATCGGCAGCGTCTTCACGGTCCGCAGTTCACATCGTGTACACCGAAAGTCCTCGGGATGAGGACCCCAAGGATTTCCATATCCGAACCCTAGCCTCTGCTCTCGGCAGGTTCGTCGATTGTTTCTCTGTGCTCTTCTCATTAGTTTCAGTTCATGTTTTCGAAATGCAAAAGAAGTTAATCGGACAAATGCTAGCTCGTTTGCGTTTGCAGTGAGGAAGCTGCGAAGGATGCGCTTATTTACAGTTACAAAACGGCTGTTAGTGGATTCTCTGCAAAGCTCACTCCCGACCAGGTTTCTCGAGTTTCCCGTAAGTCTAGCTTCAGTAGTCGCGTTCGTGATTAGATAATTAAGTTATAAACATAGGAGACTGTTGCTACTGATTGTACTTCCTTCATCGTTTTCAGTGGATCGATTGAGTAGTATACGAAATCGATTGTTTAAATTGGATCGAGGTTGATGTCTAGGGATTCATCTTCTTCACAACTCACATCATGTGTTTTAGTAAGATAGATCAAAGGATGACTCAAACTTTGTGTAGCTTGCATTTTCTGCATTCATCGTTGTATCATTGTTTGTACTTCCCGTAGGAAAGGGCATCCCAAGTACATCCCATGTTTGGATTTAGGCTTCCAAAACCCACACCCATGCCCACCCATCAGTTACACCTCATTTCCATACGTTTGGGTTTCCTTCCTCTCTCCTTTATGTCATGTGTTTCATCTTCGTCCCTCCTGTGCTTACAGAAACTTCCCCTATTGAATGTTCCATGTATTTACAGAAATTTCTCTTTCAATTATTTTTTTTCTTCCTCATTCAATTTTCTTCTTATTTATGTGATAGCTACGAAATAGTTCAAGATAAATAATATTTCAATGTTGTTTTTCAATAATCAATAAAAGAGAATTTGACAATTAGTTTCTTCATATAAATTACTCTTTAAAACCTGTGAATGTAGCGTTCACATTTAGCTTGTAAGTTATGGTAGGTAAAAAGGACAAAATCAATAGAGGTTACCCCCAGCAAGTTATCATCTTCCATTTTGCAGTGTTCTGCTAATAAGTATCAGATTTCTCTGTAATTTTGGGTTTATATGTTTATAACTTTATTAGAAAATTCAAATCTGGCTTCTTATAAACGAATACATCGGATTTATTAATTTAACATATACTTCAATAATTGCCTTCAAGATGGGTAAAGTCCTGTGTCAATTGTTGTCTAGTAGTGGCAATAATTGCCTTGATGTTGTTTTAGATTGATGTTCACTCATTAGCTGATAACAACCAAACAAATTTATCTGCTTTACTTGGCAGAACAACCAGGCGTTCTACAGGTTGTTCCAGACAGCCAGGTTGGGTTGCACCGTTAGAGGATGCTGTACCCTCCCTTGAAGTTGGGTGAAGATGGCGTCATAATGAGTGAGTTTCATCTTCTGTAAACTCAGTTAAAATTTTTTAGACTGCAACACTTGAATTGTTGTTTGTCAAGGCTGAATATTATCTCCATGTTGATACCCAACACTCAACTCTGTAAAAAGATCTAGACTTCAAGATGCAAGTTTCTATATTTACATGTTAATGCCGCATCACAAGATGTGCCACTGTTCCAAGTCTTTTCCTAATACTTCAGGGTAAAAATAATGAAAAATTAATACTGTGCTCTAGAAGAAATCAGAGTGCAAAAGAATAAGCTCCATAGATGATTCGGTAAATAAACACCAAACACCCATTAGGGTTCTTGTGAGTAGGGGGAAATCCTTGATACTTGGAACTTGTGAAGCTCACATCACTGCCATAGTTTGACTTAGAACTTCCTCTCTTTCATTCCAGAAGACGGTAGATCCTCTGATAACTTGTGTTTAAAGAACTAGTATTAGTACAAAATTCTGTATGCAGAATCTTCATTCATAGGTTTGCTTTCTCTTTATAAGAATGGGAAGTACGGACAAAGAACCGATGAAGAAAAGTACAGTCAAGGTTTTAAAATCATATAAATCCTTGACGGATTTGAGATCCCCTAGAGCAAGACCGGCCTGAATAAAGAAAGAGGATTAGAAACTCAATTATAAAAGTTGGGCATGAAAATGCAAGGAGAAGTGCATGTTAGAACAAATCTTCATGTGTGAAAAGTAAAGGGAATCCTATGAAAGAGAGAAATCGTTCTAGTAATTTAGTGTTCAGAAAGCCAATAAAGCATAAATATGAAGATGATTGACAGAAATAATTTTCTTGATTAAGTATCTAGAAAACCACTAAAACATAAATATGAAGATGATAAATAGAAAGCGTTTTCATATTTAAATATCCAGAAAGCCACTAGAACATAAATATGAAGATGACAGCCGGGTTTGGTCATTAGCATAAATAATCGGTAAGATGAGGCAAAACCTGAAAGTGGAAGGTGAAATCTTAAATGTACAAATGCGTCTTTTGCTAGAAATGGACTATAGTAAATTAGTGAATACATATTCTAGACTAGACCACGGGGAGACTGAAAAAAACTTACCCTAACCATTATATATGACGATGGAACAAGACCGATGAGTGTAGCTGAAAGGAAAACATGAAATGGTACATCGACAATGGGCGATGCCAGGTTTATGAAAATGTTGGGTAGCGTTGGTGTTATCCTCAGAAAAATCATGTAATTAAGCAGCTTCTCTCTTTGCTTTGCTACCTGAAACCACATGCACAATACTCACAGGTTAGACTAATAGAAAACACCTGACGTTGAGTGCTAGATAGTCAAGGAAACTAAGGATGGAATGGCCTTACCTGAGACTGGAAAAGTTTCAATTTTTCAGGCCACATCCAACAAACTAAAGGTCTACCAATTAACTTGGAAAGAAAAAAGCAAGTAGTAGCTCCAGCCGTAGCATTGAAAACGACTAGTACAAGGCCTTTAACAACTCCAAAAAGAGCTCCGGCCAACAATGACAAGAAAACTGTTCCAGGGATCATAAAAGTTTGCATAAATATGTAGGTGGAACAATAACCCAGGATGAACTGTGCAGGATGACCCTTGGCGTAGCTTCCAAGATGATTTCTGGTTCACAAATTTAAAAGACAAAATGCATCTTGGATAGGCATAAGCTGTCTAAATTGCTATGGCAATGGAAACCATCAAATGGAACCAACCAGAAGAAGTCAACACAACATATTTAAATGCAACAACAAAGCCTCATGTATTTGAGTTTATGGTGGATCAAACATAACAGCTATTCTTTTTCCTTTTTTCTTTTATTTTTGGGAGGGGAGGGGTTGTGGTTGGTGGTGATAAACCAGTTGAATTAGTTGAGAATAGACTAATTATAGACTCTAATTCTATGACTTAGTTTGCTAACAGAGGATTCAGACAGTCACATCATATCTCGTAAGTTATGCAGTGTCCTTTCTGAAAGCTATGGTGTCGCTATCCAGTTTAACATTAGTCATTTCTGAAAGCTTCCTCTCCACTTCTTCATTCATAACTACCTCTCCAAATACAATTCGAAGGTCTCCAAATCCCGAAATACTATATATTCTTTTCTAATTTTAGTTCTAATATCATCACTGTGGAGTCTCGTCTATACACACCCCAATTGATTTTATAAAGAAGTTGAAGTGTCGTGGTTGGTGATTTGGATTTTCGAATTGAGAGAGATCAAGAATGAGCTCTACTCGTTGATCAAAAAATGAGTTGGAGAGGATCACATGTGAGAGGATTTGAAAGATTTTTATGGAGTGTCTACTTTTAATCCTAGGGGCATCTCTATCTTAGATTGGTCCCGGATCACTATCATCTCGAAAGTCTATTTCTAATTTTCCTCCAACCTCTAAACTATTCCAACTTTAAACTTGAACAAAATATCCCAGAATTTCCTGGTCTCAACGAATGCCTCACTTGGATTAGGCTCTGGAAACAACAATTTACTGCCACTGTCTATACCAAGTCGGCTACCATGGACTAACCTCAACTCTGCTCCTCTAATGAAGTAATATGTAAGCCACGGGAGATATTAGCATGAAATGAATAAAGATGCAAGAATTGTTAATATGAAATGAGTGCGCAGGAAGCAATTTCTGCTATACACGATCTTTTTAAGTTAGTAAGATTGAATTCGATTAGAACATTTTCGAAATCAATCCCATTGGAAAGATAAATAAAATCTTGTTTATAAAAATAAATCACCTACTTGAGCATTCGAAGGTCGGTGAGGGAACGTGGCAGCTTGATGTTCTTGAAGTGGGAGGCCAGCATTTTACTGTAAATGCAGTAGAGCGCAGCGGAGAAAACCAAAAAACTGCCTAGAGCCACCGACAGTCCCCACCGCGAGAGAGGATATCTCTCAGATTTCAGCTTCTTCGCTGCCGGACTGTCCATCCCCGCCTTCTCTTCGTCTTTCGGCGTCAGATTCCTCGGAGCCGCCATCAGCGCACGATTTGCAGAACCACCTTTAAACGTTGCGTGCAGAAGTGGCTTCCGACCGGCTACCCGCTGAGCCGCGCCTCGAGAGAAGGGCACTGTTACCGGAAGCTAGGGCGAGAAAACCATGGCTTAACCACATGATCGATACGGATCCCCTCTGTCTTCAACTTTTTTTTTTTTTTTTTTTTTTTTTTTTTTTTTTTTTTTTTTTTTTTTTTTTTTTTTTTTTTTTTTTTT